TCTGAAGCCTTTGATCAACAAGAAATTATAGAAAAACAAGAGAGAAAGCATCAAACACCAAGTTTGTGCAAATCAAGTCAATTTTCCTTTCAATATTCATTTTGCTTTCAAGAACACCATTTGTGCTCATTTGTAATTATTTTTTAGTGTTCTTTTCTTGTTCTAGAATTGTGCAAACATCTTACCTTGTGAGGTTTTCCATGTAAGTTTGCAAATTTGTGTTTTTCTCTTTGAAAAAGAGTGTGCTCAAGAATTTGGGGTATAATTCTTGAGGGAGTTGTAAGGTTACTCTTTGTCCTCAAAAGAAAGAACAAATTAGTGAATTTTTTTGGAAAATCCTTAGTGTGGATAGCTAAGGTAGTAGACGTAGACTTTGGTTGAGAAAGTCGAACCACTCTAAATCGTTGTGCAAATATTTTCAATTTTCTGCAAAAACTTCCACCAAAATTTTAATTGCCAATTCACCCCCATCTTGGCCATTTTCATCAATCGATTAACTCAACAATAAGGTAAAACCCGAAGCATTTTTTTAGATCTACTCTGATAGGGGGTTATTTGGGTGTTTGGAGGTTAGTTTTGTACTCAAGGGGTTGAGGGCTTTCGGGGGGCTCTTTGGTTTTTTCTGGCCGTCGACGATGGCGGCCGGAGCAGCGAGGCCACCGGAGGGGTGGCCGGATCTTCGGTCGGGGAATGAGAGGTTGAGAGAGTTCTTACTCTCTCTCTCTCTTCAATTTGAAAAGAAGGGGAAAATGAAAATGGTTGGGCGTTTTGGCCTTGGAAGTGTGTATATATATTGAAAGAAAAATTACACCGTTTTGTACTCCCTTCTTCCCCGTGTTCTCGATACTTTTAGGGGATAATCCCTTTTTAGTCCCCCATACTTTGTAAACAAGTCGCTTAATCACTAAATGGTATCCTGATTTTCTGTTTTGGGCACTCATTTATGTTTCGTTTATATCTTAGTCCTTTTTACTTCTCTATTTACTTATTTATTTATTATTTTGTTTTCTTTTTTTTCCTTTCATAACGTTTTTCATTTTCCTTTTATTTTTAAATATCTAGCGTTTTAGTTTTTATTTCATTTGGTTTTTACTTTATTATTATTATTATTATTATTATTTTCCCCTAAATTTTATTTTTCTATACTTATTTATTTTATTATTATTATGACATATACTGTTTTCTATTTTTTTGACTTATTTTTTATGATTTTTCTCTTTCTTTAATTTTTGTTCAATTCTTTATTTTCTCTTTTGACTTTTTTATTTTATTTTTATTTACTTTTTTCTTTTCTCTTTGGTGTATTATGTTAGTATTTTATTTAGTTATTTATCTATCTATTTATTTAATTATTTATTTATTATTTTTTGTTTGTTTTGGATTTATTTAATATTTATTTATATTTTATCTAACATTTTCTACTTTTTTTAAAGGAATCACAATCGATAAAAGGTATGCAATTCGAATCGAATGTTTTAAATTTTAATTTTTTAATTTTCTCAAATAAAGACAACAACAAATTAATTGGTACCGAAAGGGCGGTTCAAGGGTGCTAATTATTCATTGACCGTAATCGACTCCCGAACTCGACACGTTTCTGGTACAACGCATATCAGGTAAGATGGTGTCCGACCCACCTAAATTCGTTTTAAAATGATTGGTGTCGACTTTAAAGTATTTAATCAAAGTCGAAGCCCAATTCTGTACTCAACCGAAAGATAATTCCGACATATAGCTTCACTATTGTCCGCTTCTATGATCACCTGTTTTTTCCCCCAAGTTTCCAAGCGCATTAGAGGCCTCGGAAGATACCCCATAGCTCAGCTTCAAGTGTTGAGCATATCCCGATGTTTCTTGCGTACCTTAGTCTTGTGGTCTCGTATTACTCTCCCACATGTTGTTTCTCCGGTTTGGATTTGTCGTGCTCCATCTGAGTTGACCTTGCACCTTCCTTGTCTTGGAGGGTTCCAAATGGGGGGGATCCTCTCCTGTTGTTGGTTACTGGTAGGCTTGGAAAATTATTTTGATCTTAGAATCTCGCAGGTAATCCTTCTCCCTTCTTCTAATACTGTTTCTCTTTCAATATGTTTTGGGTCAAAGATAATTTTATTCCTTCTTTTCCATAGTAACCAGGAAATCACTCCAAAAAATATATCCCAGTTTTCAGTTTCCCTGGCTATATCCGAACTCCCTTCTAGATTTTCCTTTACCCAACTCTTTATGCTGCATGTCATGAAATTCTCTAGTTTGGACGGTGTAATCAGCTGTTTCCATGTAGAAAACGCTGATGGACACGTTCTTAGGATATGACTGGTATCTTCTTCGTCTGCTCCACAAATCCCGCACCTTGCATCCATTGCCATATGACGTCGAACACGCTCTTTTTTTTCTTTTTTTTTTTTTGAAGAAGTCGAACACGCTCTTTGTTTGTTAGGAGTTGCTCTCTGCTGGTTAACCAAAGGAATGTTCTAATTCGTGGGTAGCATTGAAGTTTCGCAATAGTACGCCATAGGTTGTCTTCATTTTGATCTTCATTGGAGTCTATCAGTTCATAAGCTGATTTTACTGAGAACTATCTTTTATCTAATCCCTTCCAGCCAGATATATCACCGTGTTCTTCGTCAATTGGTGGGGGTACTGCTGCGATCCTTTGTAGCGAAATCTTCTGGAAGTAGGGATTTCAGTTTCTCCCACTTCCATTCTCCTTTCTCATCAACTAGCTCTTGTACTTTTGTATCACTACTTGGAATTAAGTTGGGTTGGATGCATTCATTGCGAAGGGGACCCAGACCTTCGATCCATTCCTCGTTCCAGAAACTTACTTATCTTTCATTCCTAATATTCCATATAATCTCAGATCTAAATTCTTCCCAAACAATTCATAGTCCCTTTCACAGATGGGAGCAGTTGTTTCTTGTGAGCGTCATCTGGAGCTGTTCATTTGCTTTGTATTTTGCGTGCAGTACATGCACCCACAGTTGATCCATTTTAGTGACTAGGTTAAAGGACGACTTCATTAAGAATGCTTTGTTTTGTCTTTCCAGGTTTTTAAATCCCATGCCTCCTGTCTTAATAGGGTTGCACATGATATTCCATTTGACTAGGCTTATTCCTCCATTATCTTGGTTGTGACCCCATACAAACTTACGTATTATTCGTTCAATATCGTTGCAGAATCCATTAGGTAAGAGTGTAGTTTGCATGGCATAGTAAGGGATGGTGGAAAGTACAGATTTAGCCAACACCATCCTTCCAGCGAGTGATAGTGTTTTTGATTTCCACCCCGATAATCTGTCGCGCACTTTCTGGATAATTTGTTGGTATGTTGCCTTGGTGACTCATTTGTGAATGAGTGGTACTCCGAGGTATTTACCCAAGTCTTGTACTTCTTCAAATCCAAATCCGCTCTTGATTGTGTTCCTTAACTGGTCGGGTACATTCTTTGAAAAGTAAATGTTGGTTTTAGCATTGCTGACTTTGTGTTCAGTGCTTGTAAAGAAGTTTTGGCGGACATTCTTGATTACCACTAGTTGTTCTAAATCTGCCTCCGCAAATAGTACTAGATCGTCGGTCAAAAAAAGGAGTGTTATTCCCGGACCATCCTTTGAGAGTTTTATTGATTTCCACTTCCCCTGGTTGACTTCTATGGAAAGGACATGAGCAAGTCTTTCCATGCATAGTACAAAAATCTATGGTGACAAGGGGTCTCCTTGTCTGATTCCTCTCGATGGTTTGAAAGGTCTTGTGAGGTTGCCGTTCCAGATAATTTGTGTCGAGACCGTACTCACACATTCCATTATTACTTTTGTCAGATCTTGAAGGGTATCTTTTATGAATGAACATTCCAAGCGGTCGTATGCTTTTTCCAGATCAATTTTGATTGCCATCCACCCCTTCTTACCTTTCGTTTTTCTCATTGAATGGATTGTTTCGTGGGCTAAGATGATGTTGTCCGTTATGGATCGGCCGGGTATGAAACTGGTTTGGTTCTTAGCAACCAATTCAGGTAATAGGAAGTATGTTGAGAATCACTTTGGTAATGATTTTGTAAAGAACAGAGCATAGACTTATTGGCCTATATTGAGTGATTGATGTTGGCTTATCGATTTTGGGAAGTACTAGCAATCAAGGTGGAACACCATGGTATCCGGGTATAATTCTTGCCATTTGACATTCATTAAGCATCGATCCAATCTTTGCCATAAATTTCCTCTTCTCCAGGTAAAATCTCGTCCAATCGATTTCTATTAATCCATTGTTAAAGACAAAGTAATTAAAACGCTTACAACTTCCTAACTGACGTGAACTACCTCATCGTCTTTCTTCTAACTTAAGGATGCAGTTGAAATCCCCTCCAAGGATCCATGCTTCACTATTACCCGGATTTAGATTGGAGAGTAGTTCCCATACGAGATTCCTCATAGTGATGTACGGGCTTGCATATCGCAATTCATCTTTTAATAGAACTTGTATAGTTGTCATCATTTGCATGTTTATAGATATCAATTATATTATATATATAAAAACATCAAATAACTATACATTTTGAATATGAGCAGATAAAGACCATTAATGATACTTTTTTTTCTCTCGCAGTTGTGGTTGGTTGAATTTAAAATTTTGTAGAAATAAAAACTATTTTTTAAGATTTGTATTTAAAAGGTTTGTGGGGTTGTCTTTTTTTTAACATTTTTTGTAATATTCGGCAGCTTGTTATTATTAGTAAAAAAATGTGGAGGGAAGAAATTAACCTAAAGAATAGTAAAATATTATAACGCACAAAGTGTAAAACATGTATTAAGTCAATTATAAATACATTATGAATTAGTTTTAAACTGTTTTTATGAAGATGATATCAGGTGTAGAATTTGGATTACAAAATTGAAAATTAGAAGTGAGATAAACTTTAAACTCCAACAACCGATACCAATACGAAATCTCATTACATCAGGCATCGGCGTCGTTTCCACACAAATAATTTAGTAAAAAGCCGAATCCGGAAAACTAAAAGAGACATAATAGTCCAATAAAACAACGCAAATTTCTCGCTCTTTGCTCGTCTTCTCCTTTTCCTTGGTGTTTTTAGATAAGTTGGGTAATTCTGGAATTTGAAGAACCGGGGTATAAACGCGAAGATTATGTTTTTAACTCGGGGAACAAAAACCCAGTAAAGGCAGCGAGTCAACTCGTTGGTCGTTGATGACGACGACGAGGATGGATTTCGGGGGACCGGGTTCAAGCCAAGCCCGAGTAGTGGGAAACTATATTCTGGGTCCGAGAATCGGGTCCGGTTCGTTCGCGGTGGTTTGGAGGTCACGGCATAGGCAACATGGATTGGAAGTAGCAGTTAAAGAGATTGATAAGAAGCTCCTGAGCTCTAAAATCAGTGAAAATCTGCTGAAGGAAATTTCCATTCTCAGTACTATTAATCACCCCAATATCATCCAATTTTTTGAAGCCATCGAGGTCTTTCTTTATTTTATCTGATTAATTAATACCCACTTTTTTTTTTAATTTTGATATGATTGATGTGTAAGTAATGCTGTGGCAGACTGAAGATAGGATATTTCTAGTGTTGGAGTATTGTGATGGAGGGGATCTCGCAGCTTATATTAATCGACATGGGAAAGTGTCGGAGGAAATTGCCAGACATTTTATGAGACAATTGGGTACCGTGCTTTGAAATTTTTATGCTTTCTATTTCAGTGTTTAGACGATTGGCCTTTTTAGTTTGGAACCACATTAATAGTAGTAGAGTAGTAGTAACTGTTATTAAAGACAAATTTGATGGTTAGTGCAATTGGGTTACTTTGTTTTTGCTGTATAAATTATAATTCTAGTTGGGTGCTCTTCATTGCAAGTGTTTTTTTTTTGGAACCTCATAGAACTGTTAAAAGAAAAAACTTTTACTTCTTTAGTACTAATGACTTTTAAATTAAATGTTTGATAGTTAAGGGTATGGTTTTTGCAAATTTTTGTTGCTGGAAATTGATTTTTTTTTCATGTGTGGTTTATAGTAAGATATTCATAATAGTTTTGTTAGTCAAATGGATATGATGCCAAACTTGGAAACTTGTCGCTTCTCCTTTTTGGCTTGGTTTTCATCTTCATTCATCGGTTACGGTACTTACAATTGAATCATTTGGTATTTTTTAATGGTTGTGGTATTTGGCTGTTTAGATTCAAACATATTAATGGCATACCAGTTGGTGGTATTGGGAGGGAGCTTGTTGTAGGTGTTTTTCCAGAAGAGTTCAAATTTTCCCTCATATCTCCAACTTTTACCTGCTTACATTCATTTGATATTTTGCTTGTTGAGAAAAATCTGGAATGTCCTGATCTATGGACTATCTCGTGCAGCTGCAGGATTGCAAGTTCTTCAAGAAAAACACCTTATACATAGAGATTTAAAGCCACAGGTTTGTGGCTTGAATATCATAGTTTAATTTTATGGTTTAGTTGGATTTCTCATTAGTGCAGACCATGTTGTTTAGTTTTGAAATTTGCCACTTCAAAAAAATTCAGACAATATCGTTTTATAGGACTCTGTAGTCTATTCTCTTGTTGGATGTGAGTAGATTTATTTCGTAATTAACGGGAATCTAACCTCTGCAGTTTTCATGTTACGAGTACTTGATTGTTTATTTGTTTTAAATTTGTTGCAATTTGCAGAACTTACTATTGTCAACTAAAGGATCAACTCCGCAATTGAAGATAGGAGATTTTGGTTTTGCAAGGTGAATATTTTAGTTGCCCTCTTACAAGTTGACACAAGGCTTACTTCATAGATATTGCTTCACTTTCAGACATGCATCATAACTTCGTCTGTTTATTGATTCTGATACTTCTGGGGGAACCCCCTGGCTGTCCGATAAAAAGGAGGGAAAATTATCAAATCCTATCTAGCAAAATGTGTTCTGACTTCCACGGAATATCTGTGGTTGTTGGTAGTTGGTCATAGAAAGCTGTTGATATACCTTGTTTTGCAGATCCTTGACACCTGAAGACTTGGCTGCTACACTATGCGGTTCACCATTGTACATGGCACCAGAGATTTTTCAGGATAAGAAGTATGATGCAAAGGTGAAACAACTACTTGATTTTACTCCCCACAAGTATCGTTTTTTCTTTTGCTATATTTTAGCTGTAACCCTCTACGCAGGCTGATTTGTGGAGTGTCGGTGCAATCTTATTTCAACTGGTTACTGGGAAACCACCATTTAAGGGAAATAATCAATTACAGGTTTCCGAGTATAGTAATCTATTTGGCTTATTATCAAAGCTTCAATGCTCCGCAAGTTATTTATTATGATTCTCTGCTTGATGCAGCTGTTCCAGAATATATTGAGATCCACTGAACTGCAGTTTCCTGAAGGTGCCCTACAAGAATTACATCCCGATTGTGTTGGTCTTTGCAGAAGCCTTTTACGTCATAATCCAGGTACTGGTTAATACAGCGCAGGTGTTTATGCTTTTATGTTCATGTTAAAGTGATAATTGTTCAGCAGTTCTTGACTTCTGGTTCTTATATAATACTAACAATTTGCCTGCAATTGGCAAATATTTAGGATCATAAATTTACATGCAATACTTATAGATCCAGCAATGTAAAATTTAACTTCAATTTGCAGTTCAGCGACTTACATTCAGGGAATTTTTCAATCACAAGTTCCTTGGGGAGGCCAGGTAAAATCCTCTTTTAGTGCATTTGATGGCTCCTCGATCCAAGTTCCTTTATGTAAAGTTGTCTAGCAGTCAAAGCAATTCAAGCTATTTGGATTGAGTTTATTGTATCATTGTCTGTAGCAAAAGGGTGGGTGTTGAGCTGGACACTTCACTTCTGCAATCAGAATCAATGGTTGGGCAGTTCGATTCTTCTGTGGAGAAATCTCCCTTACCATCTGGCGATCTCATGGAAGCATCTAGCAGAAATAAAAATTCAGCTAGTTCATCTGGATGTGATACTGCATCACATAAAAAGGAGTCCGGTGATTCATCCGGTGTCAAAGGTGCCCATGGGGCAGTGCCTCTTGCATGTGATAACAAGAAATATGTTCACAAACAATGTTCATCGGATCATCTCATAGGTGAATTCTTCTGTCAAATGATGTTCCCATTACGGTCTTTACTTTTCTTCCATTTGCTTTCAAATTCTTCATTTTCCCTTCAATGACCAGTGGCTGACTCAATGGAGTCTATTGAGAAAGAATATGTTCTAGTCAATCCTCATTCCACATCGATGGAGACTCTCTCTGATTACCTTGAGACATCCCTGCAAGATTATACAACTTTGAAGTGCCCAGCAAAGAAGAGTGACCAGGTATCAGAAGTTACTCGAGAAACAAAGGAGACTGCAGGTTCTGCAAATACTCAAGTTCTGGGATCCGATCCACAAATATCATCGTCTGAATCAGCTATATTAAGGGAAGTACAGAGACTTAACATGATACCTCCCTCAACTAGACTGCAGTTATTGCATCAGTATGTACAGGCTATTGCGGAACTAGCTCAAGAGAAGGTAATCTTTTATTGTTTTCTGCAGAATAAATTGACTGACAATTTTGTCCCTTCTCATAGGAAAGAGAAGTTAGTTTGTCCCCATTTATAGCCCCCTGCCTCTATTTGGTCCTTAAATGAACCTCTATTTTTCAAGGGCAAACTTTTAATTGCTGTATGTGCACTGTAATCACAATCTGAGGTGAAAGACAATTGGTACTCGGTGTATTTTAGCATGTGAACTCCTATTCTTAGTTGAGTTGGAGCCTGGAAGTTATTCAAGAAAAACATTTCTACAACTGTTGTTGCAGATTGTATTTTTTGATAAATTGCATTCGCACTTTGTTTAAGATTTCCGATACTATTGCTTTGAATGTGGCATCTCAAACATGAGTTGGTTGCAGTACAATGCAGGACTATTTCTGGAATCATTTTCGATTGAACTTGTTGTCCTGGCTTTATGGAAGAAAGCTCTTCAGATCTGTGGCTCTTGGATAGCCTCTGCTCCAGAGAATGAATCCCACGGAAGCAGTTCAGCCAATCAAACTACTACCAATGTCAGGGGTAACGCAGACTTGGGCTTGGCTCTAAATTCAGAATATGGCGTAGATTCAAACAGACCTTCATCTGCTTGCATCTTTGTGGAGCAAGGCTTTATTGCTGCATGTGATCGTACCGAGAAGTTATCATGTCATCTTAAAGATCTGGATGGTTAGATTGTCAATATGAAACAACTCTTCATTTACAATTTTCTCTTAATTGGGTTTTCGATCGATTTAATGTATCTGTCAAATAATTGCAGCTACCGCAAAGATGCCTGATGCCATGGAAATAATTTATCAAACAGCACTCACTATCGGGACAAACGGTGCCGTGAGTAACTTGCATTACCGTAATAATTTATTTACCTTTCCTTTTTTAGTTGTGACTAATATAAGTTTTCTTTTTCTAACTTCTAGGTAGATGAGTATATGCAAAACAAAGGCAGTGCGACAGCATCGTACTCGAAAGCAATGCTTTTACTTTCATTCATAGTGGGAGAGGCGGCGAGTCTTCCATTGAACCCGCCCTTTTCATTGACTCCTGCCAATAAGAAGCGAATTCAGACCTACATTAACAATTTGCAGACTCATCAGTTTCAGTTTCTAACATCAGCACCTTTCCCTAAGCTGTCTGCAGACGTCCACACCAATTGAAGAGACTGTAAAAATATTTTCAAAAACTTAGGCAAGTTTAAAACTGTTTTCTCGGAAAGTAAACTCCGAGTGATGTCATTCTATGAATAGAATTGAACATGATATATCCGTTGTATAGGAAAAAACATATTAACAAATGCTTGCAGCCTGGAGCAAAATGATCTGACATTACAAAGGAGCTTATGTAAATAATATTCTTTCTCTTGATATTCTGTACATTGGAATTGAAATGTAACATGTACAGTAATGTTTAATATACATGGACAGTATTCTTTCAATCATTGTTGGAGATGTTTAAAAGCATACTTGATGGATTTTGTCTAACCTGACTATCGGATATTGACAAACGAAGAACCTGTCTCCAAATCCCTGACAAGCTCAACACAGTAATGCCACTTGTCTTCTGAAATGAAACTGTAGGGAAAAAGTTATTGTACCTGAGATAAATTGGAAATGTTGTCAAAATCATTCTCCACAAGCATCAATTATGGGAGTTATGAGGACTTGTGACGCATCAAGTGACAATTTTTCATTATGTTGACAAATGCCACTCAGTTACTTTCAACATTTAGGGGTTTCACCAAGGAAAATAATAATTGAGTTGATATCAAAAGCAGAATAATAACAACCAAGGATTTAGCTCAGTCGATTCGTACAAGCTTCGAGGGATAGCATCAAGACATCCTGTAAATCTTGAGTTTGAATAGCAGCATCTATGATACCATCTATTGTATGCCACATGGAAGAAAAATACATACCTTCTACTGTATGCTCATGGAAGAAAAATACTATGTAGTTAAGACTAGGAAGAAAAATAAGCATAAAAGCAGTTAAAAAGTTTACAGAAACCAGTGGATGTCCCCTGTAACTGAAAGGCGGTCAAGCAGACCTTTTCTGTGTAGTTTGCTGTTTCAATGCATCTAAAAGGTTACAGCGAATATGATCACTGATCACCATAGGTCCATGGTAGAATAACAAAAAAAGGCCAAATATATGCTGAAATGAAGCCAAAGCAAAGGCCATTCAATATGCTAGATGCTTCTTATCTAAAAGTTAACTACAGTTGCATGGTCTCGGAAAGTGAATAAGCCCATGTATATAGTACACACTTCTAGATGTGAAGTCCCGTTAACTGCAAGTCCTTCAGATTAAAACCGTAAGTCATATATTGGGGGGGGAGGGGGGAATTAGAAATACACAGCAAACAGAAAATTTCCTTTGTTAATGAATACGCTGTGCTCAAGTCAAGTAGAAGCTTCCCCTTCATAGCGTATCCTCTTCGGATCTTTCCCTTCACCTTGACTACCAGTGTTCACCACTCTGCTTTCCTCGGCTTCCACAGAGCACCTTTTGTAAGGTTTAAATCCCGTTCGGCGGCCCTTAAGCTTTTCATGTCCTAGCTCAATTGTCAGCAGGCTCTTTCCAACAATGTTCTTAACTTTTGATAATGCATTGTTCTCAACTTCTCGATGGTCAGAACAAGATCTGCTTGCCTGGCTTGTGACGTGTAAAGTTGATGTTTCTCCGTTATTCTCATCTGTGTTTTGCTTGTCTTCGCCTATATTTTCCTTTGGCTGCTCCTTATTCTTGCAGTCATGTGGTGGAGAAAAGCTTTGTGGCAGTACTTCTCTGGAGAAGAGGGCTTGAAAAGCCAGTCGGCCCTGACAAACACAAAAAAAAAATGCTTAACAAATAGTAATGGAGCCATAAATGTGAAAATATCACAAATCACAGTACAAATGGAACAATAACAAAATCAAAACTACATGAAGAAACAGACAAATCAGCTCACCCCTTCAGATACCTCCTTCCAAGAGTCACTCAGGTTCGTATTGCTTCTACCACGACGACTATTACATTCAGCTTGTGTATGATTTACATCAGCTTCCTGTGTATATTCATCGTCTTTCTCGTGCTTTTCTAATACATCTATCTCCATCTCACTGCAAGGTGTATTGGAACCACTTGAGGATCGATCGACTTGTTTCTTGTTTGTTTTATTTGCATCTTGAGGCTCAGTTACTGCAGCATCTTTCACATCAATATTTACTTCTGCATCCCCACTGTCTTCACAGTCTGATGACGAAGTAGGTGACTTAGATGCTGAATGTTGACCTTGCATAGCTTCAGAGTATACATGGTCCCACTGTCGGTTTTGCATGGATAGATCTTGATCAGAATTATTTTTTCCACCCGTCATGGCAGCTGGAGCTTGGTCATTCTCCACAGGAGGAACAGCAGCTGCAAATGCAGGAGCACATGAACAGCCAGTGTGCAGAGGGGCACATAAAGAAAGCAGTCCATGGGCAGCCCACCATGCAGTGGCAGCTGCTACAGTTGCAGCGGCAATTCCAGCCATACTTGTAGCAGAGTTCATTTCTCTAGAAGGAAAGCCTCCCTGGTCACGAGGGGGAGAATCAGCAGAATGTTGAACATTTGCATATGGCCAAAACGTAGCTGCAAAGTTTGCAGCAGCATGAGCAGCTGGATTTTGTAACAGAGTAGATACAATGAGATTGGAAAAGGTGGAGGACACATGTAAAAATGATTGATAGTCCTCTTGATTGGGCTGCAGAGGCATAAAGGGAGTATGAAAGGTTGGAAACGCCTGATGAGTTGATCTTGGTACATTATTCTGACGTGAAGTAGTAGTGGATGCAGCCGGATTTGCAAACAGGTTAGCTTGTCCATGAACATCATCCATAGGGTGAAATATAGAGTCCTGAAAAGGTATATCCAGGGAAGGATTTTGAGCACATGTTCCCTGGCTTCCATCTAGGACGTGCATAGCAACATGCTGAGGGTAATTTTGAGTGTCTTTCATCTCATCTGTACGTACAGCACCATCCATATCATCTTTTCTCTGGCCTTGAGCTTGTTTCTCATATGAAGTGCAAGAATTATCCAAGTCTGAAGGCTTACTTGTATCATTATTGATCGTCTGTAAGACATAAAGTTTATAAGCCTAAAAAAATAATTTCAAGAATGATATAGGGTGGGGTTAATGTTTATCATGATTTACTACCTCTTTTAGCAAAGGTACAAACTCCCTAAAAGTGTAAGAGGTTCTGATCGCTGCTGATGTTAGCATAGAATTCTTGTTCACCAAAGACACAGAGGAGCAGTTTGCTTCATGAGGATGGGTAAAAACCTCAGAGCAACTATCATCTTGATTTTCCTGCAGGTTTGAAGACTTTTCATCCTCATTAGGTCTCTGGCAGGAAAAAAGAAAAATATTTAAATAAACAAAAAATATATGGAACATAACCAAGGTCATGGAGAATTAGATAAATGAGATACATGAGGAAGAGAAATGAACCTCTGGAAGTGGTTCTTTCTCCAAGTCCAACACCTGTTTGCAACGCAAAAACGATATTGGAGTTTCAGATTTTCCATCCTTCACTCCCATCTGTACTAAGGTAGCGGCACTATTTTTTCGAGGATAAGGGTTGCATGGTTTTCTTTTTGGGCGTGGAGGAGGAATTTCTATGTCAAGAGCCTGACCAGTTGTAACACCTTTGGCAAGTGCCTCCTTCTCCAGCTGAGGATGGAATTTGTTAGTACTCCCAAGTCACGACTCAAATGAAATTGCAGAAGAAAAATGTTTCCAGGAACTGATGGTGCCATTTAGCATCAACCTTAACAAACTGTGAGATTCAATAGATAGGAATAGCATGACTCATGTTGGAATTGGTTTATTTATTTTCTGAAATTTTGTAGATAAAGAGACGAAGTTGTTTTTCTCACTTGAATGCAAAAATATATAAGATATGATTTGAAGAATACTGCATATTATCAGGAAATTAGAAGTCCACGCATAATTCCTCTAACATCTACTCATATATCATACAGGAGGTTCATGCAAAATTATATACTCCTAGTGTCAATTACATGGCCTGATTTACATACATTTCATGTATCTGCTTCTACTCTCACTTAAGAAAATATACACACAATTGCGGCCTTCAATTCAGGAAAGCTCATTCCAGATGGTAAATCCTGTAAGCCACCTTTAATGAGTTATTTACACCCTTTCAGTCCTTTACATATACCACGTGCTCTCTCAAAGAACCCTATGGAATGTAGCATTTCACTGCAGAAGACTTGCACAAAGGACTCCTAGGCCACGGTTGAACATACATACACAACCATAAACTAAGTTAAAAAAGGGGGATGGTTTAGCCAAACAGTTTACATAGGAGGAAGAAAATTACAGGTGGTTTCTTAGGTATCACAGTTATAAGATCCGCATAAGTCTAGTTTTCCTTTAGCTGATTATGAAGGATACACTAACTGACAATCCTAATTGTCCATGGCTCTGCATGCTACCCATGGATGCTGAAGAATTCAATTTGAAGCAAAGTCAAAAACTTTGCAAAATCTAGCCATGATGCACACCGTAGTTGGGGTCAAGCCCAAATTCACCTCTTACAAACTCAAAGTGAGTGTATTTTTTTCTCCATAAGAATTCAGATCACATGTAGCTATATAACTCTTATAAGCCAAAAAAAACCCCAAATATGTTAAATCTGAAGCCTCTGCTTTGGTAGATTAAGTACAAAACTACAGCAAGTTCAAAAGTAACCAGAAAAGTGCATGCTTTGTGCGTAAAAAGATAGTGAAATTCCTACGAGAAAGTATACATTTAAAACAACAGAAAAGGTTGGAATGCACTCTTTTTTCTAAAAGATTTGACTTGTATGACGATAAACATTCCTTGCAAACATCTGATTGCTAATCTTGGACCCAAATAAAGAGAAATCAAATAGGTGACATCTCCAGAACAATAAAACATATTTGTGGAGAAGGGAAAGGCTATCACCCTACATGTGGTTTGTCAAATTAGTATTAGACAGCTCAGACGATCATCTTAGTTCAGTTGAAAAATTAGTATTAAAGTTATGCCTCTTCTAGATATAATAAACTCCAGTCTTGTCATGTAATTGGCTATAAATCTGATGACCGATATACTGCTAAAGTCTTTAACACGGTATATAAGTATTAAATATATTGGTTTTAACACTTTCTCCTCATTGTTACTCGCCTATGCCGTGGGAACCTCTCATATTCTCTTGACTGTTTTACCCTCCCCCAAAAAAATACTTATAAAGTATGGGAATAAATCAATATGAAGTAGAGAACAATCATAAGATTTCCCAAACCATTCAAGATTGTGCAACTGAGGAATCAGTATTTCATATACTTGTAGCAGAAACAAGAGTTAAGAAGCAGAAAAGTACATTGAATATAAGCTTAAGCAAGAAAGCACCAAATGACCTTTGAAAAGAACTTTTGAGCATGCCTCCTGATCTGAACAGCAGTCTTGGTTCCTATATGTTCTGCAAAATCAAATCACCAATTTTAGAGAGAATAGCCAGATCTTCAGTTAAGACAGTACACTAACAATTTTTTTAGCTCCAGTCCAGGATAATAATAATTCTAAATCACAGCAGCAGTTGAAATATTCCCGTACAAAAATAAACCATAAGATAGAAAAATAAGTGAAAACCTTCAATGCGTTGCCAAGCACGTCCATAGAGCTTCAAGGCCTCTAGGAACCTGTTATGCTCCTCCGCAGTCCATTGTTCACGTTGTTTTGTAATAGTATAAGGCTTCCTAGTCTACAATTCATAACGAAAATTAAATAATTGAGGTTGTAACAATAAGAAATCCACTTTCTACAATTCCAAAATGCATAACTTAAAAGAAAAAGGAAAGAGTTTCCTGTTTTTGATAATCAATACCTTAATTACTATTTCCTCTCCAGATGAGTATCCGTCCATTGACAGGACCTGGACAGCCCTACCGCTGCTTCAAATCCACTGCAACGAGCAATGAGTAATACACAAAACTCCTTTGATTTCCTTTGACATCCAACACTATAAATAGCAAAGCCGTCTTTGAACTCCGAAAAAGCTGAAGATAGCTATATACTGCTGCAAAACACAAAAGCCAACACCAACCGAGAGAGATCCGTCTCTGTTTTCTGATTTCATTCCAGTTAATATTAATTCATCAACATTCATAATCATAACAATAAAAAAATTTAACTACTTTATCTTTAATCACATAATAAATTGTTGATGAAAGTTAAATCTCTGGAGAATGATTGAAAAAAAGGACATCCACCGTAACATAGAGGAGACGGCATCTCCAAAAGAACTTAAAAGAAAATTCCTTTATTCAGAATCCTTACCAAAACGAACCCGTTGACGCCTTAACCTTTCGAGAAATGAGAGGGAAAACAGCTTTAATTAGTAATGAAGAAAACACCTGCTCATCCAGACTACAGGAAAATGCAAAACTTTTCTGTTTTAGCAGCCAAAACATAAATAAATTCTAGGGAAAAAGTAACTCTATCTTCTACTTGTTTGCCAAGGCAAAAGTAAATCAATCAATTTTTCTCTCGTCTCTCTGCTCAACTACGTATAAGCTTAGGTGATCGGAGTTTTAACAAAAAAAAATTAATTTAGGCGGCAGCCAAACAGCGAGTAAAGAAGGAAAGCATCAGAAGTTCGGTGAAAATACCTTGAGATACAGCCATGGAAGACGAGTTTTCTGGAAGAAATGATCACGCGTGAGAAAAAAATAGTTCAACAGCTACTTCTTGTAGAGATCGGAATCAGCATCAGAGAACAGTCTTTATATTTAAAAGGAAGTGAAGAAGTAAAGATTGAAGTGAAAGCTTGACTGTTTCTGGTGCGACCTTAAACACCAGAAACTACAGTTTGGGGGAAGAAGTAAGGAGAAATCTCAGCCACTACAATTTCCTGTGAAATTATTTTCCAAAAAAATACCAAATTTTGGGCGAGTTTAATATTCTTACCAAATTTTGGGCGAGTTTAATATTCTTTGTATACAAAGAAGATTAAGTGATTAGGGCAAATCGGAATTTACGAGTGGAAACGACATTCAACCTTTGTAAGAGAATTCAATTGAGCTGGCTGCGAAACAGAAAGAATGAACGGTGAAAGGTAAACACAAATGAGAGACGCAACATGATGTTGCCAAGTGGCGGTAATTTGGTGGCTGATTTAGGTATGGCCCACCTCTGCGCTTTTTCCCTTCTTTTTTTTGCAACTCGTTTCTTGCCTCCTACCTTCCATTTCAAATCCCAGCCACAAGTTCCGTAGCTGTGAGGTTAAATCCGTAAAAACAACCACAACTATGCCACGTGGGACCCTCTTTGACGTGGACTTTGATGTCTGCTAGTTTCTCCCGGCTGCATCCGAACGAACAAGCGGATGGCATTGCGCCAGCGTGGCATGTGTAACTGGGACGTGGCGGTCGCGGGCTCAGATATGAAGTTGAGTGCTACTAATATCGCCTTATCGAAAGCACGAGACAAGGGGACGGGATGTCGAGTGGGACATTTGAGGTTCATGCAGTGCCACCTAAATTATACCAAATTTAGAAATCTCAACTTTTTACATATAAAGGTAATAAATGGCACGCACTACTTATTTAGACTACTTCTTTAACAAAGTATACAAATTATCTCATAGTTATAAGATGTTATTTTATTAAATTTATTATTATTAAAAATTATAAAATATTTCTTAATTATAGAGGTTATTTCACCGAATCTCTCAATTATTAAAAAATTAAAAAATTATTATTTGATTGTTCATATATTTTAAATTTATTCTCTTTTCATTAAAAAATAATGATAATATTAATTTATTGATTGAAATATAATAAAATAAATATAATAAATTAATCGAAGAATATTACCTAATTTTGACTCATTTACTTTGGGGGTGAAAGCCGCTGTGCTGGGGACCATAAGGCTGCTATCCAGATCTCAGGTTAAGATTCAATCCACAAATCTATATCTAGAAAGCTCTATCCTTCTTCTTCGGTAAGAATATGGATTTTTCTTTTTAGGGAAAATGGTGTTATAAAACATTATCGAAACTCTGATGCTCTTCTTATCCAATCAAAGTTGGCATAACTTGATTTTTTTAATTAATCACTTATATTTGATCTATTGACCGACTAATTCAGATCGAGTATTATAGAGATGAAGACGACCCTCCAATCTAGTTACTCCATTCGTAAACGTCAAGATTCGAACCCCTGACCTTACTTAAGGGATCAAATACCTCATCCCACTATACCAAGTGGTGCATAACTTGATATTGTAAATGAACATCAAAGATGATACGAGGTTTTTGAGTCGCTTGTTTTATTTGAGGAGGATTATGGATTTATTTGTACTAAAGAACTGAAATAATGTCTGGATCCAATGGGCCAACAACACACACATGGATAATCTGGAAAACTCTATATAAATAGATATATGTATCAAAGTCCACTAACGCCCTTGGACCAGATTCTACGCAGTACTTTCTTCTCAATTCTACTAACTGAAATAGATATATGTATCAAAGTCCACTAACTGAAATATGTATCAGCTTGATTTTTTTAGGTTTTGTTTGACTTGAATTAGGGTATAGTTGAACCGGTTTTGAACGAATAAGACTATATTTAAATTTGTTTATTTATTTTTTAAGGTATATATGTTTGATATGTGTTTATTTAAAATTTTAACATCGCATTCTTATTAGTTTATTTATTTTTGAAGATGTTCATGTTCAATTCATTTAGCATTCACTAACATGTTAGTTTACCTTTCGTGAATATATTCGTCTAGTATACACAAACATATTCGTTTAACGTTTGTTTAAAGTTCGACAATCAACGCTCTCTTTTTATTTGTAGCCAAAAAATGATACAATTATCACTAGTTCTTAAGCTCTTAAGGCTTCTCAGTTTGAACTTAAAAATTTGTCTTATGTTTAATTTAATCCCTACCTTCACTGATATTTAAAATTAAAAAGAAAAAGAAAAGAAGAATAGGGTAAACGAGCATTTAAACGAGTTTATTTGTGAACAAAAATGAACTGAATACATCTTTATTTATATTCGTTCATTATATTTGATTCAGTAATTTATAAATAAAAAATCCACAAACATCGATAACCGTGAAAAACGATAAAATAGAACTATTGCTAGGCGATAAAATAGAACTAAAATCTAAAAACTATCAACTATAAAACAAAATAAATGCAGAGGAGTGGCCGGCGAAAGCCACCACCTCTGCCCACAACGCAAAAAAAAAGTGAAAACTTAAAAGAAAGTTGGTAACCGCCGATAACTGCATCAGAGTAAAAAGAAGATAGTTTAATGTTTATTTATTTATTTTAATAAATTAACATGAATAAAGGTAATAAAAACAATAGCTACCGGATTTGTGAGCAAAAAAGAAAGGAATAATACAAATAAATACCTTTAACATTTGACAATATTATTAAATTTGCCTTGTAACACCCCAACCCGTACCCGACTCGAATAGAAGTCTGAGGTGTCACTTTGACTTTTCAAACTTTGACTCTTAAAGAAAAACCCCGGGAATTTAAAACTTTGTTTAAAACAAAATACATTAATTTACATAAAAGAGACCACAAAATACAAACTCGATCAGAGTGCTAATAATTAACGACTTATTACATGCCAACACTCTATACACAACAAAATACCTACTTTGTCATTACTTCTAATATTATGTTCTAGTAATAATACTGTCGTTGCTACTTCTATTCTTGCTCTTCTCGTTTCTTGGTACCTACGTGTAAATCACTT